TAGACACCCTCAGATGATTCTACTAGCCAGCTGTCCCAGAAAAATCGGAACTGAAAAGACACTTGGTGTGGGCATCTAATTTATCCTCTGCCTCTGTTGCTCATCTTCCCCTTTTGCCTGAAGGGGCTGCATATGTGCAAAGAACAGAGGGAAATACTGTGAATTTTCACAAAATTCAGTCAATCGTGACTTACACAATCAAACTGTCAGAGTTTGCACAAAACACCAAGCCACAAACTCACCATACAAGTTTGCACAACGTGCTGAAGTACAGGTGGCTAATATGAGGCTAAGCACATCCGCACATCCCAGGTTGTGTCCCAAAGGTGCTTTTTCAGGAGGCAACTGGACTTTTCTCTTTTTTCTTTTGAAGATGTTTCCCTTCTTATCCAAGAAGCTTCTTCAGCGCTGACTGGATGGTGGGGAATGGAACGATTTATATTCCTTCCAGACAGCTGGTCATTTGCATCCTTTTAGAGAGTCGTTGAAGCTTTTGGAGATTCATCTGTGTCCTCGGGGTCACCTGAGTTGGTGCTCCTGGTTCCTGTAGTCTGCACTTTTTCCATGACGTGGATGACTGAGAATCTCTACATTAAGCTATGCAATTTGGGATGAACTCCCTTGGAATGGTGTGGGAGTAGGAATGGATTTCCAGAGGAAAAACTGCAGACTACAAGAACTATTTGCACCACTCAGGTGACCCTGAGGACAGATTAAACCTCCAAATTAAACCTGACTCTCTAAAAGGATGCAAATGGCCAGCTGTCTGCAAGGAGTATAAATCCTTCCATTCTCCACCATCCAGTCAGAACTGAAGAAGCTTCTTGTATAAGAAGCGAAACATCTTCTAAAGAAAAAACAAGGAAGTCCAGTTGCCTCCTGAAAAAAGCACCTTTGGGACAACCATGACCTGGATGACGGAGAATCTCTACAGAATCCCAGGTTGTGTTTTGTGAGGATAAAACCGCACGGCATTACCCTCCCTCAGCCACAACTGTAGAAGGAGGCAGGGATAGTGAAGACCATTAATAGATAAAAGAGAAAGTACAGGTAGTCTAGTCCTTGACTTACAACCAATCATTTAGCAACTGTTCGAAATTACGACAGTGCTGAAAAAAGTGTCTTAAGATGGGCCCTTACACTTAAGACTGTCATACAATCCCTGCAGTCATGTGATTAAGATTTGGGCCCTTGGCAATTGGCATGTATTTCAACATTTGCAGCATCCCAGGATCATGTGACAGGCAGCTTCCAACAAGCGCAGACAATGGGGAAGCTGGATTCACTTAACAACCTAACAACAATGGCCAAAAAAGTTTATAAAATCAGATGCAACTCACACAGAGTGCATCGCTAAGAGAAAGCTGGAATAGTTTCCCCAGATTTCTGCAGCTCTCACCCCTGCAGTGACACACTGCCATCTTCACTGGGGGTGCACTGAGTAAAAGGTTCCCCTCGCACATATGTGCTGCTCATTCCCAACTCTAGGGGGGGTGCTCATCTCCGTTTCAAAGCCGAAGAGCTAGCGCTGTCTGATGACGTTTCCGTGGTCATGTGGCCGGCAAGACTAAACACTGAAGGCACACGGAACGCTGTTCCCTTCCCACCAAAGGTGGTTCCTATTTTTCTACTTGCATTTTGTACATGCTTTCGAACTTCTAGGTTGGCAGAAGCTGGGACAAGTTACGGGAGCTCACTCGGTTATGCGGCGCTAGGGATTCGAACTGCCAAACTGCCGACTTTTCTGATTGGCAAGCTCAGCGTCTTAGCCCCTGAGCCACCTTATGATGCACTGAGTGGCACTTAGGGAAGCAAGTTGGTTTTCCAGGGTGGGGAGAAGGGCCCCAAACCTTCCCCTCCCACTCTGTCCTGTGCCACTTGGGAGTGAAGCAGAGAGCACAATGCCTGGCCACCGGTTCTCTCAGTCTCCTTCTTGGATGGAGGCTGGCAGTGTAGGAGCCCCAGCCCTGGCATGGCCCAGAGCCCAGACCGTTCCTCTCCTCTCCCCACTCCCACCACTTCTGGTGTGGGCAGAGTCCTCGATTGCTTTGTCCCCCAGGCAGAAGAGAGGTCGGACGTGCAGGCAACCCTTCTTAGTTTTGCAAGGCAGCAGACTTTGGGGTTGTGAGGCAAAACAACTCTCAGGATGCTGTTGTGTGAACCCAGGCAATCACTCCAGTGAAGCGCTCTCAGAAGATGCTTGGAAGGCCCGAGGGATCATTCATAGAGGAGGTTCTGGGAGGAGAAAGCAGGGCACAAGGTCCCTTTACATCCAGAGGGCCACCAGGGTAGGTTCCCCCCTTCTCACTTCCACAGCAAGCTTCCAAAGGACGCCGTTGCTCTCTGGGAATCCTCAAATGCGGGCCCAGCTTCAGAAGGCACCAGATCAGGAGCCCCTGTGCTGAGCCCACCACTAGAGAGCCCGCTCGCCTTCCATGCCATGCACATGAACGGAGTCAGGGGAGCTCCGTGTCTGCTGGACTGATGAGGACAGAGGGCTTCAGGGCTGGCCAAGCAGCACATCTCCCCTTCTCCCCCTGAGTTAATGGATAACCAGCAGTGGAGGGAGCTGTTAACCAGGTGTCCTTTATGGCATTTTGAGTGGGTGCAAGGTGCCATTTGGAGCCGCTGCTTGTTTTGCTCCTGGGGTCCAACTCTGGTTGCTGGTTAATGCATGTTCCGAAGCTCCAGGCTGGCTTCTCTTCAAAGAAAGACGGCTTCCTTTGGGGGGGTTGCAGTCAACCGTTCTTCATATGTTTTAGACTCCAGGCCTTTGATCATCTTAGTTGCTCTTCTCTGCACTTCTTCCAAAGTCTCAGCATCTTTTTTGTAATGTGGTGATCAAAACTGGATGCAGTATTCCATGTGTGGCCTTACTTTATAAAGGGGTACTAACACTTTGATTCTCTGCCTCTGTTTATACAGCCAGGAATTGTACAAAGGAAGGCAATAGCTCAGGAAGGAAGAAGCAGAAGTCCCTCTCTGATTTTGGCTCCAAATGGCCTTTGCAAGCCGTTTGGTCCTCTGGGGCTGTGTGGTTTATCTTGTATATTAGAGGGAGCTGGCACAGCTCAGTCCACACAAATCAGGGCAGCAGCACAGCCAATCTACCCTTCCTAAGAAGCATCTCTGGATGCTGCAGGGATTGCCCAACACACAGGACCAAAACCCGTAACCAGAGTGAGTGTGTGCAGGGAGAAACCAGGATCATAGGACCCCCCGCTTACTCAGAATTCTAGCTTCTCATGTTCCCCTCCTTGTGGAGAAGGTCCAAGCTGTCCACCTAAGCAATCCTTCAGTATCCCCTCCTCTGCCATGGGGGCTGTTCAAAGCACATCTGCAGGAGACAACAGGGCTGAGCTACAGGGTGCTTGGCCACCAACTGGCATCTTCCCAACCAGATTGATCCCTGCTGGGGATGGTAGGAGTTGAAACCAAGAGATTAGAGGGGCCCCTAGTGATGAAAACTCTGTTAAGAATGACCCTCTCTTCACTTCATTTTAAAAACATCAGGAGTTTTAGATATCAAAAGAGGTGAAAAGAACACTGAGAAAACAAGAGACAGACAGACAGATAGACAGACAGACAGACAGAGACAGAGACACACAGAGAGATACACACAGACACACAGAGAGAGACACACACACAGAGATAGACAGAGACACAGAGAGAGACAGAGAGACAGAGAGAAAGATAGAGAGAAAGACAGAAAGAGAGAGACAGACAGACAGAAAAAGAAAGAGACAGAGAGGCAGATACGCAGACAGAGACAGAGACAGCCAGATAACCTGAAAGTCTGGGAATTGCCAAATGGTGACCGAGTAGAAGGAAATGATGGACCTCTGGTGGCCACTAAGAGCAACAGAAACTTTAATTGACCGACCTCCAAGATTTTGGCCAGTTTCTTGCTGTTCTTCAGTTCCAGGGAAGCATTGCAGATGCACTCATAGCTGGCCGTAATCTCCTCCACCTTCTCCTGCAGGGTTGTCTTGAAGTGAAGGCTGCACAGGCGGGTTTTATATTCAGGCACCAAAAGCATCTGGAAGAGAAGGAAAAGAAGGTCTATGGAGATTCTCCGTCATCCAGGTCCTGGTTGTCCCAAAGGTGCTTTTTCAGGAGGCAACTGGACTTTCTGGGGTTTTTTCCTTCTCATCCAAGAAGCTTCTTCAGCTCTGACTGGAGGGCAGGAAATAGAAGGATTTATACTCCTTGCAGACAGCTGGTAATCTGCATCATTTTAGAGGGTTATTGAAGGGCCTGGAGGTTTGTCAGTGTCCTCAGAGTCACCTGAGTGGTGCCCCTATATAAATCCTTCCATTGCTCCAAAATGGGGCAAAACTCCCTTAACAAATGTCTCACTTAGCAACTGAAATTCTGAGCTCAATTTGTGGTCATATGTCGAGGGCTACTAGTAAACAAGCAGGCAAGCACAGAGTAACAGAGCTTTTCAGACAGCACAGAATCCTTGTGCAGAGACACCCTGAGTAGACATGAGGTGGGGGGTGGGGAGAGGGGGCAAAAATGAAATCCACTGTTTGTAGCCTAAATAAAATTATTTCCCCTGGGAATCAAGGACGTTGGTGCAGGTGTTCGAAAGGTGGTGCCTGAGGTCACCTAGCAACTGGACTGTATGCTGATCGGACTGTGTGACAGGAGACTCTAGGGAGGAAATGACAAAGTTTTAGTCTTAATTGGGTGTAAAGCGGGCAGGACCTTAAAGCCAGTTTTCCACCAAGTCTGTGCCAATTTGATATGTCCCAATAAACCAGTGTTTTTCAACCACTGTGCCGTGGCACACTAGTGTGCCGTGACATAGTGTAAGGTGTGCC